CTCTTGTCTCTTTAATACTGATTAGATAGATGGCTTCAAGTCTCCATACATGTGTCGTTTTACAAGGATGACTTATTTCTAACTAACTCAAGACAAGGAACACAGAAGAAAGCATGGGTTTAAGGATGCTAACTAGCTGGCAAGATAATTCAGTGGATCTGATTTATCCTAGGCAGGGACCTGGAAACCCTAGCAATATTCACAAATAGAACAGCCTTCGGGGTTTTAGTTAGGCTGGACCTCTTAGGTGCCCCTCGGCTTTCACTATGCTCCTAGGTCTACTCTTATCAGCTCCAGGGACTTTCGCTGTTTCCTCATTCATCAAAGATGAATGTTCTGTGATAAGCTACCGTGTTCTTACAGCCACAAAAGCAATGTTTCCTAAGTGTGATTGCTGCCATCCATCTTTTGATATCAGAAGTTTTTGTTTTGTTTTGTTTTTTTTCTTTTCCTCCAAAACAGATTCGTGCTTACTATGGAGCATTTAGAACTGTCAACCAGAGAAACATCACCTCTGGGGAAAATGAAGATCTCCAAGCCTTGCGGTTTCTGTCTGCGATTTCAATTGTGGACCCTTGGATTTTCATCATTTTCAGGACATCAGTATTCAGGATGTTTTTTCACAAAATTTTTATAAGACCTCTTATGAGTAGAAATTGGCACAACAATTCCTGCAGACCTAACATGGAATCTAGCCTATGATCGTATTTTATATGGTCTCGTAAGCTAAAGGAAAAAAAATATCTATTTAAATCTTTAAAAGTCATCTCCGATAACAAAGCATTCATAAGTATTTCCAGAATATGTGGTTCATTTTAGCAATGTGTTATCAATGTAGATTTATGAGTCAGTTCAGTGCAATCTTTACTTTGTGTTATTACCCACCCTCTGATGTCAAGTCAATTCTGACTCACAGAGACCCTATTAGACAGAATAAAACTACCCCCCAGGGTTTCCAACGCTGTAAATCTTAACAGACGTAGACTGCCTCATTTTTCTCCCATGAAGGCACTGTGGGTTTCAATTGCTGACTCTTCAATTCATAGCCCAATGCTTAATCCACTATGTCACCAAGGGTCCTTTTGTGTTATTAGTAGCAACTAAAATTTCATATTGCATTTTAAACATTTTTTAAGGTCTTAACGTGATTATATTTGTTGTTCCAACATTTGTGCTGCGTGCCTCTATTTTTTAGAGAGAGTTTGAGATCTATGGGTCTTTATTTAAATAGAGCAGAAACATCATTGTTTACCATTATGTGATGGGTCTTCTTAAAAAGTTTGGCAATTTCTTAACCCTAGTCTTTTCTAGTGAAACCTAATTTATTTATTTTTAATCATAATTGTTGTTATGTTGTTAAATGCCATCAAGTTGGTTCTGACTCATAGCAATCCTGTACGGGGTTTCCGAGGCATTAAATCTTCATGGGAGCAGAAAGCCTCATCTTTATCCCACTGAGCAGCTAACTGGTGGGCTCGAACCACAGATCTTGTGGTTTGCAGTCCAGTGCTTATCATATGATTGCCCTGTTTAATTTTTTAATTTTTTAGTTGATCTAAGCATAGATCTGAATTATTGATGTGCCTCAGAGAAGTGAGCTGGGACTAGGACCAGGTCAGGAGCTTGGATAGGCTTCTTTTATATGAAGACCCTAAGCAGTAAATGGGCAAATGACAAGACAGGGCTATGGTCTACAACCCAGAGAAGAACAAATTCATTTTTGTCTTTTAAAGTCCAGCTTCTTAGAGACTGAGACAGAGATGTCAGTAGGAGTCATTGAAATGTTAAGTTGAACTACTAAATGTCGTTCGAATTTTTGAAGTCTCCTTTTCATATACAGACATCTTATCTATAATTCTGAGGGGGAGGGATGGATGCTTCTTTGCAAAACAGTGACATGTGATTTACCAGAGATTAAGTGTGACTGTGTGAAGCAGCCGGGCACGTGGCACCCAGGACTCAATCACCTTAGATGACAGCGCTGGCAACGACCTTGACATCTACCTTACCATCATCCGATTAGGAGTTTTTGTGAAGACAGCTCTTATGAAGTTTTCTGAGAGCTGTGTTTCTTAAAGTGGAGTAGCAGAATATGGCTCAGAAGGAGCACCACTGCATCACTGAGCACTTCAGCTGTACATGTGAGTTTTTACAAAGATTAGCAACACTGACCCAAAAGAAAACGTGGAAAAACGTGGGTGAGGCTGTTAAACTGAACAAGAGACTGAACCCAAATCACAGGTAAGCACTTTCATCTTTGATAAAAAAAACAAATTACGAATACACAATTCTTTTGAGAGTATGACTTGATTAAAAAGTGCAGCTGTTCTGAAAGTTTACCTTTCATTTGTATGTTTGATGTGTAAGTAAATATTTAAAGGAAGTAATAATGTTTGTGGTCTCCTTTTAGAAGGTGTAAAGATAATTTGAAAAGGCCCCAGATAAATCAATAAGCATTATTTTATAAGAAGAAATTATTTTTCTTCAAATGACAGATAAGTGCACGTTTTTTCATTTTTGAGTAAACTATACCCAGTAGTATTTTGTCTCTAGCCATTTAATAATGTATTCATATACTATTCTGTTAGCATTTTTATTACTTTAAACACATTAGGATAATCTTACCGAAGGACTCGGTTTTTATACAAAATGTAGATAAATCATCTTAATGTTAAATTAAAGTCAACTTCCAACTCATCTTCACTGACTCATCTGTTCATTTTAAGTCTTAATTTTGCCAGACAGTTGGTTAGGTACTGAGAAAAATAGATACGACTCAGACCTGATGCTAGAGTTGCTCATTGTCCAGTGGGGAGGCAGGCATGCAAACTGTTTTGTTAGAGTATGGGAATCCCAGCAATCAATGCACACAGTGCTATTATAAGGGGAGGACTAAGCTAGAGGAAGACATCTAAAGTTGCCAGGAGAACTTCCCAGTGAGAAGCATTTATGTACTGTAATTGGGTAGGAATTTTAACTCTAATTTAAAATTGGACAAGAAATCAAAAGAGTTTACATAAAAGAAAACAATTCAAAATTGCACAAGAACACAAAGAGTTTACATAGACAAAAACATACATGGCTAATAACTAACCAAAGGTTAGTAGTTGGAGTCCTCTTGCAGCTCAGCAAAAGAAAAATGTCTGGCAATCTGCACCCTCCCATGAAGATTGTTGTCAATTCCTTTGCCAATTCCTTCAATGCACTTTGGATTTTGTCCTTCAGTATCACTGGCTCTTGATCATATGCTACGTCTTCAAACGGCTGAACATTAACCATTTCCTTTTGGCACAGTGACTCTGTGTTTTCCTTCCATCTTATTTTGATGCTTTCTGCATCATTCAATAATTTGCCCAGAGAATCCTTCAATAATGAAAGTCGAGGCTTGAGTTTTTTTCTTCAGTTCCCCCAGCTTGAGAAATGCTGAACGTGTTCTTCCTTGTTGGTTTTCTGACTCCAGATCTTTGCATATTTTGTTGTAATATTTGGATTTCTCTTCTCGAGCTGACCTTTGAAATTTTCTGTTCAGCTCTTGTACCTCTTCATTTCTTCCATTTGCTTTAGCACCTCTACACTGGAGAGCAAGTTTCAGTGTCTCTTCTGAAATGATATCCATTTTGAGCTTTTCCTTCTTTCTTGTCTTCTTAATGACTTTTTGCTTTCTTCATGTATGACGTTCTTGATGTCATCCCACAACTCTTCTGGCCTTCGGTCTTTAGTGTTTAATGTATCAAATCTGTTCTTTAGATGATCTCTAAATTCAGGTGGGATATATTCAAGGTCATATTTTGGCTCTC